TTTTAGTTTGCTACTTTTTCTACGCAAAATGAAACCGGTCTAGATATCGGTCTAGATCGGAAAATCTAGACCGCGGCCAATATCGACTTCAGCCAATCAAATTCGTAAATTCGGTAGTTCCCAGTCCTTGTGAGACACAGCCATATAATAATAGTCACTATTGCAGGCACGTGTATCGTTTTACATTACTAGGTCTAGCTGCGATTGTTGCACTAAAAATAGAAAATTGTTTTCTTTGCTTTCTGGGTATAGTTCATTTCTATTACAATTCTAAAGTTAAATTAGCAGGCAACTAAATAAGGCCAAATGTTGGCTTTTGTAATAGGCATTGGGAACGTTTTTGATGACAGAAGTAAAGTTGCTGGAAGCTGCTATTGAAAGGCTATTGTAAATTTCCGCTCCGAAGTTTTTAGTAAAGACTGACGAGAGGCAATCCTCTCTACATATCGATGGTACTGCTACTGAAGGATTGAGCTCCTGAAATTAATTTTCGGAAATCAAAGGGTACAGTTTCGTTGACGCCACCAGAGCATTTGTCGAAAAAGTCTCTAATAAGAATACCGCGGTCTTGCGAGTCTCTAAAAGGCTCATGACTAAGCCAGATTATAAGTTTTAACCGCGGGTGTAGAATCCACCGCGAGAAAATCCTGCTCAGTCTTGAGGACAAGCTCACATATTAAGTCGCATTGGAAGACGAATCCCGCATAGCGGGAGCGAGGAGAACTAGATAGAACTTCTCGAACTGAGAAGAAATTTTGCCCACAGACAAACATTTTTGGGCTTGTTTGAGCTAATACCTTTAGCTGATACAATTTGACACTTGAATAGGCTAATGAGTTAGCATATCGCAAAGTCACACAACACCTCTCGCGGAAAGCTTTTTATGTCTATTTGTAGTAGATTTAATCATCGCAACACGATCGCATGTGCACAGTTTGATTTTGAGGTCATTTGAATCAACAAGAAATTGATTCGCGCTTCAATTGTACGGCGAATTTAACTGGAATAAAGGGAAAATAGAGTCTTCTGCTCCCTGTGTACCAGACACACTAAACGTCGGGTTCCGAGAAGTTTGCAGTTTGAGAGACTTTATGTCGCATAGTTGTTACCTAATTCACTTATTTGCTTGCCAATCTTTGATAACGCTGAAGTACTTTGTATCTTTCCACCTTGAAGCAAGGTTTCTTACTTGTTACTGTGGTTAGCACCCACGTTCCAATCTAGTGGACCTGAGTTAGATTCCGGGATTCGTCGGCTTTTTTCCGTTTGTTTTTTTTTTAAGCCACTGCTCTTTTTCGATTCTTTTTCAACCCTTTTTTTGGTGAAGAACATTTGTGCACACTACGCCGGAGGAATGTGAAACGCAACACTCACCGGTCATTTTGGATTTTTTTTTGCTTTCGGAAGAATGTGAGCTCAATTCATAGTAGATTTGATCATCGCAACACGATCGCATCTGTTCCGTTTGATTTTGAGGTCATTTGATTCAACAGACAATTTTTTCTTGTTACAATTTTGCGGCCAATTTAACTGGAAAAAAGGTCAAATAGGACTCCTGTTTTCGCTCTGTACTAGCAACACTAAACGTCGGCATCCTAAAAGTTTGCAGTTTAAGAGGTATTAGGATGTTGGGGTATTAGGGTATTGCCAAGGTTATTAGGGTATGCAGGTATTACGGTATTAGGGTATGTGGGTATTAGGTTATTAGGGTATTACGATATTAGGGCATCAGGCTACTAGAATATTAGGGTATTATGGTATTAGTTTATAAGCTTATTAGTCCGTTAGGGGATTAGGGTGCTGGGGTGTTAAGGTGTTAAGGTATTAGGGTCTTAGGGTCTTAAAGTATTAGGGTATTAGGCTGTTAAGGTATTAGGCTGTTAGAGTATTAGGTTATAAGGGTAATAGGGTATTGGGGTATTAAAGTATCAGGATATTAGAGAATTAAGGTATTAGGGCATTAGGGTATCAGGGTATAAGGGTATTACGGTATTGGGGTATTGGAGTATTAAGGTATCAGGGAATAATATTATTAGGATATTAGGGTATTAGGCTATAAGCGTATAAGGTTGTTACGGAATAAGGGTATTAGGGTATTTATGTGTTAGGGCGTTATGGTGTTAGGTTTGTAAGGTATTAGGGTGTTAGGGCGTTAGGGTATTAGGGTATTAGGGCAATGGGATACTGATGCATTGGTGCATAAAGGTATAAGAGTACTTCTCCAATACTCAGTACCCGAATAGCCAAATAACTCATTACGCCAATAACCTAATACCTTAATACCCCAATACACCAATACTCCAATACCGCAATAAGCCAAAACCCTAATAACCCAATACCCTAATACACTTATATTCTAATACTCTAATACCCTAATACCCTAAAAACCCAATAAACCAATACACCAGTACCCCAATACCCCAATAAGGCAAAACCCTAATAACCCAATACCCTAATACACTTGGGCGTTAGGGTATTAGGGTATTAGGGTATTGGGGCAATGGGATACTGATGTATTGGTATCATGATAAGGGTATAAGAGTACTTCCCCAAAACCCAAATAATCCATTACGCTAATAACCTAATACCCTAATACTCCAATACACCAACACCCCAATACCGCAATAAGCCAAAACCCTAATAACCCAATACCCTAATACACTTATATTCTAGTACCCTAATGTCCTAATAACCCAATACCCCAGTACTCCAATGTCCTAACACCCTAATGCCCCAATACCCTAATACCCAAACACAAAAGTACCCTAACATCCTAATACCCTAATGTCCTAATACAGTAATACCGTTATATCCTAAATCTCTAATACACTAATACCCTAATGCCCTAATACCCTTATACCCTAATATCTTAATACCCTAATATATAGATTTAGGCCAGCCTAAAAGCGTAGCTCCTGGGCCGGGTTGTTCAAAGTCAGATTAAGCTAACCCAGGAAAAGGTAGAAATTTTGATTTGAGTTTTGTAACTTTGCGGTGAGGTTTTCTGTATATTGTTTGGCCTTCTGTTTTGAGTTTTAATAATCACCATATTAAAAAAAAACAAAACAGCCAAAAACATTTGCATAGAAGAAAAAGTTATAATTCGGTTAAATTTTAATCCTGGGTTAGCGTTAACCGCCTTCCGAACAATCCTGCCCTGTTTCCAACAAGTTAACCTAATATGAGCCAATCGACACGATCCAATCGATAACTTGCACTTGGTCAGCGGTCAACTTCAAAAAACACGTGGCCTCGAGGAGCTGTAAACTTGAGTCCGCGATATGGTCACGTGATACCAGTCAGCGGATACCTTGTTTTGACAGGTTTCAATTAATCATAACATGGATGTTTAATATCAAGGAAGTACACGGTAAACCAAGGCTGCTGTCTCTGTCAATCTATTATTTGGAGTATGGCCGCCATGTTGGGCAACTCCGCCGTCGTCGTCGTACGTATGCGCCCACGAGCAATACCGCTAGCCATGATAACCATGTGAAAATCAACTCATGGGTTTCCTTCTCTTTCCTATATGAGTATGGGGCTCCGCTTGGCGGCCCTTCGGGCCGCCGGAGCTCCGCTATTACCCTCTTGCCCCAATACCCTAACACCTTAATACCCCAATACCCTAATACCCTAATACCCTAACACCCTAATACCTATATACTAATATTTTAACACCGTACTATCCTAATACCCCAATGCCCTAACCCTAATAATATTCTTACACCCTCACCTTTTGTTACTATGGTTAGCACCCACGTTCCAATCTAGTGGACCTGAGTTAGATTCCGGGATTTGTTGGCCTTTTTTCCGTTTGTTTTTTTGAGCCACTAGTCTTTTTCTTTTCTCGTTCAACCCTTTTTTGGTGAAGGACATCCACAATAAGCTACATGTACTTATTTCAAGGTTGGAACCGATAAGAACACGATTTTTGACGTTTTGTTCAACTGTTCAACTTGGTCTTTCATTATGGTCTCAAGAGCTAAACAAACTACCATGATCGTGGAGAGGGCGCCGTCTTTTCCATTTATCGGAGAGTGTGTTGTTTATCACAGATTTGAACACCGCCTGACTCGTTGACCAATCAGAGTGTATACCAGATCCTGGTATACCCGGAACGACCTTTTGTTAAGTTTGCCCACAGGCGTTCTTTCGCTTCCTCTCGTCGCGCCTTTTTTATTTTTTCGCGCGCTGTTTTCCGCGCTGCGCCTCAACTAACTGAACTCCTGGAAGAGGCTAGACCCACGGTCGCCCAGAGCCAAAGATCTTGCTGGACGCTGAACCTGTGGCTTCCACCAGATTTTCGCCTCTTCGGCTTCTTGGAAGACGAAAATGGGCAAGAAGTTTTCCTGCGTTTTCGTGAAAGAACCAGATCGCGAACAGTTCGCGTGCACAAACGAAATATCACACCGCAATTTGATTTAAACGTGAAAATTGGCGGTGAATTATATTTACGTGCCGTAAGGGGTTAATGAGACTCAAAAATAGTTTTTCTCCTTATATTAAAAAGTAAACACGCTTTCTTCCCATTCTTTGTGCAAAATATTTATCTGGGTCTTCTCAATTTGAACAGCAAAAATAAAACTATTTTTCGCATTTTTCGTAAAAACTCACCTACTATGATACCTTAACTGAATAACAAGAGGGTACGGCACCTATTTTGTTTCTCTGCCTAGATTTTTGAAGCACCGTTTTCGCAACCAACTTCTTTAAGGTTCATAATTTATCAATGGATGTCAAATATTTGTTGATACTGATATGATATATAAACCGTATGAACTTCAGGATTCTGTCCAAGTTGAGAACTCAAAGCATTTGCCGAAAAGAAGTTATTCTTTCACAGCGCAAGCTGTCTAAGGTCAGCTAGCAACTCATATAATGCAATAGCAAAGAAGAAACCGCAAACACAGTCGCATGACACTGTCCTTATGTTCTAAAGCTTTGAAAACAATTTATCTAATGTACAATAAAGATGTGACTTACCAGGAAGGACGCAACCTGTTCCTTCTTCATAAATAGTGTCCATTCCGTTAACAGCTGGACAGTAACACTCACCCACTGCGTCACACTTTTGGTCCAAAGTTATTTTATTGGTAAGTGGTCGAGCTTTAGGGCAGTCACACACTAACAAAAGAGGTTCCGTGACATGATCACTCAAACAAATGTCAACATTTACACTAATCTCACAATTGGCCTGTGCCCACTTCCTTTAGCGTGATTGTTAAAGCAACGATCAACAGTTCATTGAAAGTGAGAAAAAAGGGGACATATTTGATACACATGATATGAAACACGAGAGAATGCGAGAGAGCACTTGTGGCAGTCTCTTCAGATGCCAATCCATGGCTTCGCAAACTCCAAAGCGAAAAACGTTTAATTCCATTCCAGTTGTTGCAGTGTTGAAGTGTGCAATTTTTGTGCTTTGAAACTGTTTGAGTGCGCATGAGTAACACGCTTTCTCCCCCAAATGCAACCGAGCAAGTTTAATTTTAAAAGTGCCATTCTACACATAAAAGATTGGTACACTCAACTAAAAATTGCAACTTATGTCATTAGCGTTTAAAACTTTTTTTTATATTCTTTAACAATCTTTGTTTTCACTGGAATTTTTTTGTGTCCTCAATTTAAACTTCCAAGCTCTCTACAATTTAGTTCCCAGCTGACTGTTAACAAGTAGCGCAGCCAGTAGGACTGCAGCTTGTTTTATTGTCAGTTTCTACTTATATAGCAAAGATGTTAAGTCACCAACGTGCTCGCTCTCGTTTTTTTTAAGTACGTATATTTGAGTTGAATACCTTCACAATTCTTTCCAGTATATTTCCCTAAACAGCGACAGCGATATTCATTTTTTATAGGGTCAAAACTGCACGTCCCTCCATTAGCACAAGGTTGTGAATTACACGGATCAGGCAAAGGAACTACAAAACAATGTACGCAATGCTACTTTAGTAACATATTCCTTGTTTATAACAATATAAACAGTTCTATGTTCTCCTTGTTCAATGACCAGTGCTAAAATTCTTTTTATTTTGTAGTGAATAGACAGCTCTGGTTATTTCCCCTTATTTATACTACTTACGCTCAACTATTATTGGATGCTGTTATTGAATTGACACTCCTTATCTAACATAATAAGCCGACTAGAAAACCATTTAAAGAGGCACTTTACCAGTTTTGTTTTACTTAGTACAGTTAATTGTGCACGAGTTTACTCTTTCTTCACTTAATCTATGTATCTAATTAAAAGACATATAGTTTACCATATCTTGCCCTTTCCACTTCCCTTTCGCTTCACTCAGTTTATTTTAACTCTGGTACTGTATTCAAATTGCCAAGTGGAGAAATAAGACATACAAAATACAACAAAAATACTACTTACGCTCGCAGTTAGTTCCAGTGAAGCCCGGGAGACAAGTGCAAACATAAGAATTGCCATGGGCAGAACAAGTACTGTTGTTTTTGCACGGAAAGCTGACACATGGATTGCAAAAAGCTGTCGAAAAAGAAGAGTAATTTTTTACAGCTCTCAATACTATATATATGCAAAATCATTCATTTCTCCTTAACGGATAACAAACGTGGAAAACTACGAGTGTGGTTAAAAGAAAAGCAACACAATGATTTCTAGTTTAAACACCTGAGGTAATTCTTGGAACAAAAGACTGAACGAGTTTAGCCAATGTCGATAGAATCAGGATTGGATAATGTGCCCAAGTAAGGAGCATTGTGTTGCATTGCTTAAATTCAACATTTCTATCACCTTACATTCGCAATGTGCCCCACAATATCCTTTTTCGCATTGACAAGAGTATGACCTGTCTGGACCCAAAACACACACGCCTTTATTCTTGCAAGGGTTTGGCTTACAGGGGTCTTTTATTGCTGAAATAAAAAAAGAGAGAAAATGCTTAACAATAAACTATTCTCTCATTAGACCGACACTGGGCTCAATCTGATAATTCCAAACCTTTCTTTATGATAATAATTTAAACACACGATTCATAGATTTTGATAGACTATTTTACAGATCAGAAACTAGTCCTTTCGTTAAAAAGATAAAATGTGAATTTAAAACAACTTTATTTGTATTTATTTATTTATTTTATTTGTTTCTAGAGCTGGAAGCATCCGAGGCCGTGTATCTAAGACCAATATTAAACAAACATAACACTAGGCCATACCGCTTCCCTAAATCCTATCTTCCGTTCAGTTTCCAAACGCTATCCTAATTCAAGAGAAAACGAGGCGAAAAACGAATTTCCACGCATACCGCCCTTTCAAAATTCCCTGAACAACGGGTGAAAGGTATCATGCGTACGTTTGGGGAAAAAGACTTCCGTTTCCGTCTAGGACTAAAAATAACTTTAGTGGAATCGACATGTCCCAGCCAACGCTCTCAATGTCCCACTCTGTCCCCTCATTTTCTCTTACCTACAAGTAACATCAAATGCAAAACCAGGCAAGTAACAGCCTGAATGTGTAGAAGTAGTCACCTGTGCAATGAAAGCCATTCCCAATATAGTTCTGTTTGCACACGCAGTGATTGTTGATACATTCAGCATTTACATCGCACATGTCGCATATTTTACCTAAAGAAAAAAAAAGAAACAAACATATATCATGTTTCGCTACACATCTCTGCGAGGCATTCATCGATTGCTGTGTTTAGAAACTTCTTTTCGCCTTTTTCACTAACCTGGGTAGCGCAGTCCACGCTGCAAAATCACTAGTTAATATTTAGTATTGCGACGCGAAAGTAACGTGAAAGTCATTGTGGATTTACTCTGAATCTTGTGTACAATCATTGGGACATTTTTCATTCTCATTGTTCCTATTTGCTAATGATAAAAGAAAAAAAAATTATTTACTTTCACATCTGTGTCCTGTAAATCCAGGTAGACACCGACAGTAGAAATTCAACATGTACGGAACGATGTCCCTTTCATTAACTTCTTCTGGAGTTTGCTCATCGATACAAGTTCCTCCATTCAAACAGATAAAATCCAAGCACGGGTCCGGAACTGCAAAACGGTTCATTTATTTAGTTAACACAGGGAAGTTATATATTAAACACGAGAGATGTGTTTTGACGACATTTTCACACACCGAGATGAAAGTTGAATATACGACGGCCAGCAGAGTGTGTTTGATGATCTTCGATGAGTTTGGAAAAAATTATCTCAAGTGATCTGTTATCCAAACACCATCACAGTTGTGATTTCCTTCGTTAAGCTTGATGAATTGTTTGAATATGTTTCAGAAGTTCTGCTGGCTAACAATTGTTTAGTACAACTGCTGATAACTGAATAGTTTTTGGATTTACCAATACAATTGCATGAATTTAACAAGCTATAATATCCAATATGACTTTTTTTGTCCACTTACTATGACATAGTTTTCCTTTAAACCCATGTGGACAAGCGCACTTGAACGTCCATCGCTGATGTCCAAAGCCTTTTTCCACAATGCAAATTCCTCTATTAACACAGGGACTTGGATTGCACACGTGATCTACACAATAACAAGTCACTTTATAAATGAATGGGATGTTACTCATGATCTTTAGTTGTACTGTTGAATTCGTCCTTACTATCAAGCATTATTCTTCTTGCAGGCGAGGTAGTTCAAAAGACAGCAACAGATGTAGTTCTGTCATTAGGACGTGAGAAGAGCTAAGGATATCAAAAAGCGTAATGAGATTATCCATTAGTATAGGTAATCGCATGAGGCCGAGCAAAATTAAGGATTAATATCACTTGTTAATCCTTAATTTTACGAGGACCCATTGCGATTACTTGTTAATGAAACAGAGGGAAAAATTACTGAATTTCTGAATGCGCTCTTGAGTAATCAGTAATAGGAAGCCAGTTAATGTTGACAAAGAATCAATCGCCACAAACGCACGAATGAGCTGNGCATTCAGTAATTTTGCCCTCTATTTTATTAACAATTAAATTTATCATGCAAATCAAGGGAACTCTGTCATTTACTGTCATGTAATTGCTAAGTACCTGTATTAACAAGAGACTGATGATCGTCTTGTAAGATAATTATAGCTTGACTCTGACAATATTTTTATGTTTAGTTCAAAAATACTTGATCATCGTCTCATGATATTAACCATTACGTTAACCGTTAAGGTTAGTCAACTGTCATATTAATCGTGTATCTGATCACAATTCGTAACCAAATTTTGCCCGTTTTCCTTTTAACTTACTTTCGCAGTAGGTACCAATGTATCCTTTTTCACAAACACAAGGGGCAGTTGGATTCTCCACACATCTTCCACCATGATGGCATGGGTTATGAAAACAAATTAAGGTTTCTAGAGAAACATCGTCAAAAAATAGAACGCTCAGCTGTCAGTTATTTAAAAGCAGGCACGTTTTCACAGGAACTCATGAAAATTTACATTATAATATTTAAAAACTTGAGTACTTCTCAAGCTTAATTCGTAAGTAGCTAAACCGCTTTTCAAGCTAGTAAAATAAATCAAACAATAAGTGAAAAGCACTTTCTACTGCGTTGTCTGTACTACGTTACTGCTTGGACCTATTATTAGTCAATTCGTCGGATCTGTTAAATAAGTAACAGTCAGATACAATCGATTTGGTCCTTGATACTCGACAGAAACATTTTATTTCAGAATAAATACTTTAGTCTTCTCAACCGTATGTTAAGGGTGAGACCTGTGCAAAAGTGTCCTTTATGAGGAGGTAGACAATCACACTTTGCAGTTCCTTGAATATCTTTACATACACCATTATTTCTGCAGGGATTTGGAAGACAAATATCCAGGTCTAAAGTGGAAGAAACAAATAAACTTGGAGTTACAGAAAATAAAAAAGGCAAACGCGTACAGCATACAGTAGAATTGGTTGATACCTTGTTTAGTTTAAGTTACATTACATACTGCTTTCATAAAAAACCGGAGACAAAGTGATCGAATGGGTAGTGGATAAGATATAAGTATAGGGTTAGATTGCACGTACATGGCTATGTATTCTGCGACCTTTTCCAGTTTTTCCCATAATTTTCACTAACGGCATGTTTTTGTTTGTTGATACTGTTTTTTTTGTTCTTGTCTCTTTGTTTTTGTAAATAGACGAGCCTTTCAGCTCTTAAGAAAAGTATTGGCCGCCCCTTGAATTTGTTTTGTCGACATAGTATTTATTCCTCAACAACAACAAAAGTGTTACAACAATGTGACTTTTGATGTCTTTTTCTTCCATACTGTTGCAAAAACAATATTAGCTAATATTACCTTTACATCTCTCGCCTTTGTATCCTTCTTCGCAGATGCATTTGAAGCCATTTAGTGTCTCGACGCAAGTGGCATGATGGGAGCAAGGATTGGGTTTGCAGAAATTTTTGTCTGAAAAATTGCAAAACACGTTTTGAGTCCTTTAACCCATTGACTCCCGGAGCTTTTTGTCAGAAACGCAATTTTTGGACATTTTGGAGATGTTCAGCCTGAATATGGCCCAAATTAACTCCAACCTACTTAAGAATACATTTACAACATAGGAGCATGCCTTTCTTTCCACTAGCGTCGCATGTTACGACATTTTCGCTCGGGCATGCCCAAAAATCTTTTTTATTTAACTTTCTCTCGCACGAGAGTCAATGGATTAACCCATAATCATTTCATTTATAACGCAGGACCCACGAGAACAGCAATGCAGTTTACAATTGGCAGCTTTCCTTACACACATCTTGTTAAAGATATATTAACAACAAAAACCTAACTTTAAAACCAAATATAACTATTTTAATACAGTTTTTTAAAACAAAAAACTGTAATTTTTTTTCGGAAACAGCTTCTCTATCACTTTTTACGACTTCCTTATGTTTTTTAACCATATACATGACTCGTGGCTTTTAGCCCGTAGTTAAACCAATCAAATTCCGAGTTTTGGACTTCATTTGCAGTAAGTCTTTAACAAGAAACAAGCAAGTTTGAATAAGAACCATACTAACATACGCTTAGTGGTTTACCAGATTGGTGTTTAACTCCATTATCATCAGGAGTATTTTTTCAGCCCCTTCGATGGCATAACAGTCCATCGCAGGGTTACCACCCAGTATTTAATTTACCGGTACCTATTTATACACTTGGGTTGAGAGAGGCACTGTGAGAGTAACGTGTCTCTTCCAAGAACAGAATACAATGATCGGCAAACATAGACCGACCCGGAATCCGAGCGCACAAATCAACTGCGATCAGTTAGGTTTATGACAAATAATTATAATTACGCTGCAATATGCTAATAATTACCGGAAATCACCTACCTTGGCAAGTTTTTCCCGTAAATCCTTCAGCGCAATTGCATTTAAAACCGTGATCAACCTCTTTACAAGTTCCGCCATTCTTGCAAGGATTATAGTAACAAAATAAGGTGTCTAGAGTTCAGGGAGAGAAGGTTATGAGAATAGCACAATGCACCTACGGTGTCTCACTGCGAAAAAATGCAATTCAAAGCTACAAAAGTATAATTAACTCCACCTCAGGGCCAATTTTAACTTCTTTACCACTTCAACTCACTGTCCTAGCAAGGTGGCATTGTAAAACCAAATGTAGCTTACCTTCGCAAAGCGGACCCCCAAACTTTGGAGGGCATAAACATTTGAACACATCATGCTCACCCATTGTCATAACGCCACCATTCTTGCACTGATTTCCTAAAGCATGTAAATGAACAGCTGATAAGTCATAAATTTAATTGTACCATAAAAATTATTTTAACTGAATTCCCGAACGGAATAAACTCTTTGGTATATACTTCTTGTAACTGGTCCATGAAGAGTCTCCCATTCGCCATTTAATTATCATGACTGACTATTGAATTGGTTCACTCGTAAAGTGCACTCTATCAATCGTTATCAGTAGTTCTCAGTATTTTTTTTCTTTTATTCTGATTACGTTAGATTGATTACTGGACGTAATAGAGAGTGAAGGCTTAAAAAATGTTTGACATAATCGAATCACCACCAATAAAATGGAGGAATCCAGCTGAACATCAAAAATGTCTTTATGTCTTCTGTGCCACCATATTCACCATCGACATCTGAATCGCAACCAGTTCCTCTCCCAAAGGATGTTCATGACGTAACAAAAACTGCTGAAACTTCTACAGCCGTAAAGAGGGTACCTGTTTACACGCGTTTTTAATTTAAAGTGTGAAAATCGAGTTCGACGTGACCCGGTTAAACTCGACACTGTGTAGAATAGGGATA